TGAGTGAGTGAGTGAGTGAGTGAGTGGTGAGATCTTGTGTTGAGTGAGTGAGTGAGGTGAGTGAGTAGACGGCGGGAAGGAGCGAGGGACGGAGGGAGGGACGGGCGGGCGGGCGGATGCGGGCGGGATGCCAGCCAACAAAACTAGAACCCCACACAGAGATGTGGGGAAATAAAACAAAACACAACCAGGCACTTATATGTGTTCTTGACCTTGGATGAAAATCTTCTACCTCCATGCAAACCGCTGGTCCTTGGTTGGTTTTTTACACTAGTTTCAGAGTAGATGGCACCAGCTCCCCAAGATGTCTTTTAGAAGCTTTTAGATGGGATGATGATGGGGGTGCCCTCTCATTCCTCCGAATCCTCCTACTTCTTCGGAACTTCGGAATCTCTTTGCCACGCTTGGTCTTCTTCCATTGCAAACCTGCAGTGCTGCGGGTTCAACCGTTTTCCCCGGTCCTCCACTGGACATCCGATTCGATTCAGGTGTCCGAACCCGTCCGTCTGACCGGTGCACGTCGTCGCGGCCCGGATCCGGCCTGCAGGGCAAATGAGCTTTGGGGATCCGCCAGCGTAGGGCGGCTTGCAAAGCAGCCGACAGAAGCTGCCCGGTTGGACGTTGCGACAGTCGCTCACGTCCTTGGGAACGGGTGAAAGATGGCGAGAACGCGCCGGCACTGACAGAATGCTGCAACTCGGATGGAGCCGGGCAAATTGGAAGGTAAGGTAGCTAGGTATAAAGAACATGGTTATGCTGTGGAAGTTGGTGGTGGTGTGTTCATTACTTTATCTTTTGTGCCCTTTCTAAATTAAAAGCTCTTACAGTATCTTACAGGCTTTGTAGCAACGGTTCTTGCGCCATGATTCATAGTCCATCTAATGTGCCTCTAGGTCGGAGAACACGTTTTCTGCGGCTCAGAGGTGGACCAAGACCTCAACAGGTGATTTGTCTGGCCTTTGGACCTACATAACTTGCATCACTTCAACAGTTACACACAAAGATTCACATTCTCCATACCCTGCCCTACACGTCTATAAATGGACACGAGAATGCTACTGCCTCACAATGTTCCGTGGTCCAGTGGTCCCTTACAAAAGCCATCCAAACATGTGCCCATTTCTGCTAAGACACCAAACACCCCATCTCACCAGCCACCCAAATCCACCATCTCCAGCCATGCGTCGTACATGCAGGGGTTCGTGGGCGCCGGCGCCAAGCACGGTTGCAGCTCCAAGCAGCCGCTGAGCTCCAAGGAGCTGGTGCAGGTGGCCTTGACGGAGCGAACGTCGCGCCGACCGGTCACGTGGTGAGGTGAGAAGGGAGGAAGCGACCCAGTCACTGGCGTTTTGAGCTGTTTCACCATGTGTTCACATTAAAGAAAGGCTTGGGCTGAACAAGAAAAAACAATTGGGATGATCTTGGGAGAGTTGAGAGGGGCCAACACCACCCAAAGGGACGTTAAATGACGTTTAACATGACATAGGTGTGGAGTAATGCCGCTTCACACTTCAAGATCAAACATATCATATAGGAAGCAACAAAAACAAACACAAAGGTCAAGGCAAGGAAACTATGATCTCAAAGAATATTGACGTGGCCAGGGGTGACGTTGCTGGTCATTGATCAAGCGAGCAAAGTGTTATTTTGCTGGTATCAGGGGCAAGCGACAGCTGCTGATGTCCAATTTCCCACCAGGTGCAGGGACAATTTTCTGATTTTATTCATGTAATTTTTAGTCAAGCACACACAAACTTCTGGCACAAGATCACAAAACAGTTCACACAAGTCAAGGGCTGAGACCCCCCCAAAAAAACCTTTTACAACATTTTACAACAAACGTCCCCTAATTAGTGGGGGGTGGAAGTTGACCAGCAAAATACAAAGCTTCTAGATGGAGGAACTCTCACTGATCTCATCGTCCCCTCTTTCGCCTGGTCCAGCAAGCAGCGCCCCACTGCGACACCTGAGTCGACCCAAAGACCACGGGACGACGAGGTTTTGAGGAAAACGTGAGGATCTCTGCACCGGCCATTTTGGGAGTCCTGATGCACTTAGAACTGATGCACTTAGAATGCCCCACCATGTTCATGTCATTTCAGAGGCAGTCAGCGCCTAGCCCCCCCCAAAAAAAAACACACCATCTGCTTGACAATGGGGAAGAACACCAAGCCATCAGGTGTTGAACATCTTTTTGTGTCTTCGATGTTCGTCCCACATGAAATCACCTCGTCACTCGTCACTCCCTGCCGTCCCACACAGCGCCTGCGGCGCGAAGCGCCGGCCTTTCTCTCTTCGGAACGTGTGGCCGAATTGCGTGCGTCTTGGGACCCGGCCCGAACGGCTTGCGCGCGGTGAAACGGACGAAAGAAAAAACCTTCTCCAGACTGGGCGACGTTCGTGCGATGGGCTGGGTCGAGGGGTGGATTAATTAAATGACGACTATACATGTGAGAGATGGAAGGCCTCTGAAGGGATCGAGGGGATGACGATGACGAGGTCGCTTCAGAGGCCTCTGGCTGGCCTCTTCTTATCCTGGCAACATTGGGCATCAGTATCCTGGATGCTTTGAAACAGAGTATCAAAACTGACACCAGACCATCCTCCACCTGGGTCTATAACGGAGTTTGCCTGGCCTGCACAGGAGCTCAACCCGATCATCCAGCCCCCAAGTTGCCAACATGCATCAAACATACTCCGCCCATGGCTGTCCAGCAAGGGTCGAACCACACTAATTAGTGGTTTAGTAAGAAATCCCTTCTAAAACAAAAAAAAGGAGCCAAAAGCACCCTGCAGGGTCTGGTTGAATACGCCTTTTTGAAGACGCATAAAAACATGGAAGTAACAAAACAAATCAACAACCTGCTGCAGCTCAGCTCGAACCCGCTGCATCGCACGACGTGGTGGCTATATGCTCCGGCCATGCTCTGTATAAAAGTGGCGGCCACCCGCGGCTCAGCAGACGCAGGTGCTTCAGCCCATGTCAGGTGGACTGGAGATCTAGGGGAAAAGCACTGGCCACGTCCGATCCTCTGTGTCCGGCAACTGCCTACGTCAATCACGAAGAAAAGAAGTGGCCTACCTAAAGTAGCTATCTTAAGATATCTAAACAGAACGTTTTGTTATTGGACATCGTCAAGTGACATGAGAAATTCCATTTGGAGCAGAGGAAGATTGGCTGATTCCACCCCTTAAGATCTCCACTCCGACCCCTGCGAACTGGCGGACCTCGCGGGTAGTAAGTAAGCCGCTCCAAAGCAGCCGAGAAAACCGTCCGAATCCGGAGAGAAAAGACGTGTCTTTATGTTCTTTCCTAGCGGCGTGCAGCTGAATAACTCTGGCAGTGGCTCAAAAAGGTCCGGCAAAAGGTATGCACTAAATACAACTTATAAAGCTGCATTTTAGTTACATGGAATTGGTTCTCCAATGTTCTCCATGTGCAGTGTTCTAAGAGCTGCATGGAAGTGGTTCTCCAGTGTTCTAAGTCACCAGATCGGAATGTTTGCTGCTGCTACAATCTATGCTCTCTAAACCTCCAAGCCCAAAGGTCTCCTCCCAAAACTATTTGGCCTCCAGGTGGGGGACAGGATCAACCACTTCATGTCATGTCGGCGTGTCTTCATCGTTGTGTCGTTGCACCTTTTTGGGCCAAGGCCAGACCTCAGCTAGATCGCCTCACTGCCCATTTGCACAAGCCTGGCCAATGTGACTATACAGTCGGCTAACGCAGTATATCGTTTATGCTTACAAATGCATTTCTGGTACACCACTCTGAATTACGCACGCTATACGAGCTTTTTTTTTGCCAGATGGACTTTCAGTCCGTGGGTGAAAAAAGCTGGTTGATCGTTTAGTTTAGTGGTGTGTTGTCATCATCCCATGTTTCAAGGAAGTCTAAAACATGAAGAGTTTGAAGAGTCATTCACCGGATGACAGGTGAAGGAGCTTCCGCCAAATTCTCAAGTAAGTGACTCCAAAATCTAAAGTAAATGAATTGATGGATCAAATACTTGTCATAGTCGGTCAACATTTAGTCCGTTCCAAATAGATGTGCGGTTTTTGAACGTTTTTTTGGAGTACAAATGTCTGACCCATAGCCCAGTACTACACCTGCAGACTCACGATTTTGTGGAGGACATCTTCCTTTCCATGTGGATCTTGGTGGATCTATTTAGACTGCCAAATTGGATCTAGACTGCCCGGCCTAACCAACTACAGCTATAGGCCAGGGTTTTTTGTTCCAACTTAAAATCTGCCTCTTCTACCATTCCCCACTCCACGTTCACCGTGTCCAACCCCGACTCTTCTCCGACTCCGACTCTGCTCGCCTCGCTGCTCGCTCACGAACCGCTCCGCTTCGCCTATCGACTCGACTCCGCGCCTGCGAGGGCCCTGCGGGCTTCCGAGTCCTTCGGAGCCACGAGGGACAAGGCCTCCAAGGCCTTGTCGGCCTGCAGGACTAGCGCAGTCGAGCGCAGGACTCGCAGGACTCGCAGAGTTGTTCTTTGGAGCGAGGAAGCGAGGGTTGTGGGAGGGTTGTGGGAGGGTGGGAGAACGGCGGTTGGGAGGGTGGTGGTCGGTTTTTGGGGCGCTCGTGTTTGGGGAAGGAGGAGATGGGAGGAGATTGAAGCCTTTCTGCTTTGGATGAATGCTTGGATGGGGCAATCCAAAGTGGAGAAGAATCAAAGTTATCATTAGAAGGTCATTGCCCATTGCAAACAATTATGTAGTTGAACACGCAACACCATCGACATTGAACACACCTACAACAACTTCACCATCCCTTCCAGAATGACCCCAGGGTTCCTTGCTTTGACTCAATCGGATCTTTCACCCTTGTTGTCTCCCTCCATCGATCGCTCCGTCCATCCGAGGGGCCATCTTCTCAGCCAACTTATTGGCCTTGGCACCGGCACAGCGAGAGGCGAAGCCAACAGCGAAAGGCCCACTCTTGCACATGGAGCAGGGCAGGTGATGTTCCTTCAAGTATAGGTACCCTCTGCACATGTGGATGGCTTTCATGGTACATGTATTCATCCCAACATTCCACCTACATCGTGGAGGATTCCCGCGATTGAGGCGTCTTTTTGCCACCCCTCAGGTCTCGGAAAGACCTGGACAGAAAAAAGAAGTAGAACAGTGAACCGAGAAATGGCTGTTCCATGTTTAAGTTGGAATGTTCAATTTTTGGAAACTCGTGAACCCTCTTTTTTGGAGGACCTGAGTGTGATTCCATGCTACTTGTATTCCTCTATATATTGTATACATGTCATGTCAAAAAAAAAGACATCTCGAACTTGGGAGATTTCCTCTCACCTGACGTCTCCCTCTCTGTCTTGCGCGCTCCCCATGGCATAGCCCAAGCAGCTCGCTCCACGCCACCGCACCTCAGGATCTCCATGCTTGGCGTGGCGGAGCGGCGTGCGGAACATCTGGCGGGTTGCAGCATGTTGGATGTGGAAACTTAGAACGCAAACGTATTCCAAGATGTTAGATCATTGGACTTGACCTTTCAAGGTGTTGCATAATGGACAAGATGTTCTTGGGATTTGTGATTATACATTGATTTTATACATGTTTAATCATGTATATATACCATGTTCTTGGGATTTTTTGGAAACTTGGCAGTTTATACCTGGTGAGACTGTGAACATATTTATATATAATTAGAGAGATAGATTATAGATGCAATTATTATGATTTTTTGCTTTAACAATACCAACTACCAACCTGTCATGTCCTCTCGAAAAAAAAGAAGGACTCGCCCAGCAACTATATAGACATTAAACACCCACCCCGACCCCCCCCCTCACCGAAGAACCCCCTGGTGACTAAGTCACCCCCCACCCCACTATACAGACTCCCCCACCTTACCACCTCCTTGAACCCTATCCCTCCCCATACCGGAACGACACGACGTGGACCCACGTGGACCGCACCGACCTCACCATCCAACGACCTTCGTCTCGAGGCGCTCTCGGATGATCTCCAGCGCCCGGTCCAGATCGCGAGGACCGGCGAACTGCCTCTGGATCAACCTCGCAAGGACCGTCGGACGCGGCGAGGTCGCGGCAGGGAGGCGAAGCACACGGAGGGCGCTTTCCTTTGGGTGAAGAGGTGGGAGAACTGCAGCTAGAGAGGGGGAGAAGGAAGTCTTGAAAAGTCTTGAAAGTGGAACATGAACTGATGGAAGTCCCTCCTGGAATGTTGCATGGTCTCTTCTGAAGGATCATGATGAGGTTTTTTCGTTCAGGTTTTCGAAACTTGGCAGGCGGATCAATCATCCCTTGACTGGCCATGTCTTCTTTGCTGTTGCCTTCGCTCGCAGCATGCAACAAACTTGGTCGTGAAGCAAGGAACTAGCTCATGGTCAGTAGTTTCCCATGGCCTTTGGTAAAGATCAAAGGTCCACGAAGAGTGAAAAAACAATCATCTGGCGCATCTTGCCTGGTCTTCCCCTTCATCCATCCCCGACAGCCCCTGATGAAACCTTCCAGACTCATCCGCCCATCCAGTAGCTCCATCCCATCAAAGAATGGACAGTCCCTTCTATCATCATCACATCCTTCCACTATCTTCTACGTTAGTTGCCCAATCTCATGCTTCACAGGTAAAATAACTTGCAGCTAGGAAACCTCCGCAGCTCCTTGCTCCCGCTAGTGGGTGCCATGCCCAAATCCTCCAGAGTGGACTCAGGTTATAAAAAGCGACTAATACACGCATTGGAGTGTTTGATCTAATGAGAAGCACATTGGTTTGCCGTGAGAGTTTTTTTTATCTGTGTTCCATCCTGGCTGTTCATCAGTTCGCGTTCATGTTTCAGACCTTCTCTCTGTCCGAAAGTACACGTCACATCCACCACCTGAGACATTCTGAGACTACCTCACTTCACAGGAATCTTCCATTGTTTCAACTCCAGTGAACACCTGCATTTAGCGGCCCGATCGCGAGGGGCTTGGAGCTTCCAAACAGGTGAGTTCACGGTCGGCGCGATCGAACCCGATCCCACCGCTTCCGTTCAGTCCGTTCAGTCCGAAGGTTACCGGTTCCGGGCTCCTCGTTGCCGTTCACGCAGAGGATCACCGGAGCCGTCAAATTCCCTTCGCTCAAGTCTTGCCCCACGGGCTTCCCCAGCTCTTCACCTCGACGAGACCGGTGAGACCGGTCCGGGAGAGTGGAGAGTCCGGTGCGAGCAGAAGGGATTGAATGGACAGGGAGAGGAGTTGTTGAGTTGTTGAGTGGTCCTATGATGCAATTGGGGTCATGTAAGGAAAAGAAAACAGTTAACTGCAGTTAACTGCTGCTTAGATGGCTAGGTTTGCTCAAACAGTGCCATTTTTGATCCGCCAACATTGAAAGCTTTTGGTGAACACTTGGATCCCTGGAGTATCCGTGACATACAAATGTTTTGTCTCCTCTATGTCCGGTGAAATGTGGTCTCAACCATCTGCAGAGTCGGCTCGTGGTTGCCCTAGGGAGTCGACAAACTTGTTTTTTTCTTCCCACCGGACCCTTGTTGATTCGTCACCAAATCCTCTACCATGCCCTTCCCCCACCCAGGACATTGAACTTGGTCAACCAGTGGCCACCGGTGAAGTCCAAGACATCGTCGGCGATCTGGAAGGCTAAGCCCAAGTAGAAGCCATAGGTGTAGAGCACATCCTTGGTTGGAGGGCAATCCCACACACATCAGCTTCATCTCAGGCTTCAAGGAAGACAATAAATAAACTTGGAGGCTATCTTCACATCTTAAGCAGCATGGTGAGAAACCTTCCAGTTCTAGTTCACTGTTTACGTAGAGCCGGTGGTTTTATCGCTAGCCAGACCCGATGCAATAGAACCGTTTGAGGCTTCAGGGAGTCCAGTTCTTGCTTTGATGGGTGTTGAATCTCAAATAGTAGGTGTTGAAGCTCCAAGTGTGCAACCCCCAGCTTCAACTGTTCAACTACATAGTGTGGTGATGAGTTTGCTTTTTCCCATGAGAACCTTGAAGGGCCTCACTCCCACTTTGTTATTTTTGGCCCACCTCCATCCATGGCAGCCCCTCCAATCCAGTGAGTGGGCCCATATCGTGATAAACCAAACATCCTGGTAAGTTCAGAGAGATTGACCAAACAACAAATTCACTACTCTGTGAATGCCCCCGAACCTTTAATTGCGTGCTTGTTGTATGCCGTATGATGCCAATCTTCTACACCAAACGGGCTACAGTGAAGGCAATCCCAGAAAGGCACCTCAAGGATATACTCTCCACCATCAATCTCACCAGTGCAACTGCGTCCTTTCTGAGTGGTTCGTTTCATCCTCCCCATGAAACCAATATATCCTTACCAATATCACCCCCACCGTGGAGAGCCGCGAGTCGCCTCACCCCCGTCTGCCCGAGCCGCGCAGACTTCGCAGCGAAGGCCCGTGAGGACGGCAGAGGCGCGGCAGGCCGCGGCCAGAAGAGAGGCCGTCTTGTAAAAACTCTTTTTGAGGTAGTTGAAGAGAGTGACCTGGAAAAAAGGTGGACACCCATGTTTAAAAGGTGGAAAGCCCGTGTTTAAAAGGTGGGCCGTCTGGTAGTTGAAAGAAGAGTGACCTGGTTCCCACGGAGCGGCATCGATCGGATCGGTCGGTCACAAAGAAGAGTCAAGGTCCGTTTAACCGCGGTCCTTTGGTCACTGGAAGTTGGCAGCATACTCTGACCGACTGAAAGGAAACATATGGAAGTGAATGGCACCAGCGCACCAGCTGTTTGTATGTGTACTTCATGGTGATCCGAGTCGACTCGGGTGCCATATATGCCTCTACAGCACTTCCGGGACCGACCGTGGTGGCCGGTTGACCGGAACTGGCGACGTCCCCTCAGTTTGGGAGGTGTTTGGTCAAGAGGTAGGTATCCCTTAAATGATCCGTAAGTAAATATGACCTACATTCACCACCACCCAAAAGCACACCAAATGTACTTAATTAGGCTATATGCCATACTTGCAGTCCCAAGAACATCGTCTTTGCGTATCGTCAATGCACAAAGTGAAGATATCTGGAGTTTTGTTGTTCCAAGTCTGCTCTGACCTCAGTGAGCTGAGGAAACTGGAACTTCCTTTAGTGGCACGGCAACATCGTCGAACTGGACTTCTAGACATCTCCGGGTATGTCATGCAGGTATGACCGTATACCCCCTGATATCTCCGGGTATATCCTACACACCCTGGTATATCTAGGAAATGCCTGCATCTTCCAACTATGCAGAATATATGCCTTTCCATTCATGAAACACAGCCAAAAGGATCCAAAAGGCACACGTCGACGTCGCCAAGCAGCATTGGTGTCAAAGCGTTTGGCGCTTTGCGCCAGCTCTCCTTGGTCGAAAGACATCGCTTCCGATCAGCTTTGACCGAAGAGATCGCCGAACATGTTACGTACCTGGAGACGGCCTGTAAGACCTTAGACAATGGGTACATGTTAAGTTAAGTACCTGTTCTTTGCTCAGGTCATGTCCCATTTTCTAGAGTACTTTGGAGGATCCAGGTATACTGTACTTGGAACTTCGTAAAATGTTTGCCGAAATTGGCTGGTTTTACAGATACAGGCCACGACCTGTAAGACAGTTGCAAGATCTGGGTACTCACCCGAAGTACCCCAGCCACAGTCTCAGTCTCAACTCTCTCATCGCAAATCGTCGGTGAACTGTCTCACTGCAGCTGCTGGCTGTTTGGGGTGTTCAGTCGTCGCAGTTCAGCCAGGAGGGAACTGGAGGGAACTGGAGGGAACCAGCAGAGGTGGGTCAGGTCACCCGATTGTTCGACTCTCCTAAGGTCCTAGTGACGGGTACCTCTGGTTGAAACCGGGTCCGAACGTTCAGGTCACTCAACTTCTTGGAGAACGAGAGCGACGGACAAAGCACCGTCCCGAGGCTCCATAGCCAAACTCCTCAATGACCAAAGAGACCTCGGTCGAGGGCGGTGATACCCGGTCTGACCAGGTTCCACCAATAGAGATAGGGACACATCACTGAATCCATGTGGATTATAGAATGTGTATAGCACTTGATCCCTAAAAAAACACATACAGTACCCTCTGAGAAGGTGATTGGAGGTGCCAGGAGGGTCCAGTCACATCCGTTGTACCTTCGGAGAAGGTATGTGGATCCCTACAAAATATTAGCTAGTGGTCGGTCTACATTTTGCCAATCGTATCCAATACGACATGTCGCCAATGTTTAAATCAATTTAAGGTCAAGAGCATACCTGTCAAGAGCCATGTATCAATCCAATTGTATCCATAGCAATACAACAATTCAGGCCTCTCAAAGCAAGGAACCTCAAGCCCATAAAGGAAGGTCAAATAGGGCATAATAATGAATGTGACAAAGAGCTGACGAAAACTGCCACCATGGAGTTTATGCACTGAACTTTCACCTACCCCTCAGTTGCAGCACTGGAAGCCTGTTGGGCCTGTTGGTGGCTCAGCGAGAGTTTGTATGTGTTCTGTCCTTTGCCACCAAGAAAACAAGCAACCGCAAGACCCAACAAGTCCACATACTTCCAGAAGAACGCAACCAAAAAGAGGACAGCACCATTACATGCTGTACTAAATCCCTTGACAGTCAACTTCGACCACCTACCATGCCATTTCACCCAGATGTCAACATGAGACGAATCAGCACCTCAGCACCTCGTCACCTCACATTTCATGTTTCTTCCAGCTCCAACAAACGCTCGCTTCAATGCAGCTCCACAAAATAGACACATGAAAAACAAGCACCAAACAACAGCCGCCCACCCACCCCCCCATCGTCGTCCTACCCCTCGTCGTGTCCACACCCAAGCACGGCTACGTGTTGTTTTTGGTGTGTTGAACACGTCGAGGTGCCAAGCGTGTGACCTCATCGTCCTCCAAGGATTCGATCAACCCCGAGGCCTCGGAGTCTCGAGCCCGCCCAGCCGATGGGGGTGGCCAAGTCGTTGGGGTGTGGCGACCTCCCACGGAGCGGGAACGGCGTCAAAAAGCTTTAACGAACGGAAACGGGAGAAGCTTGGGAGAAGAGGGACAAGAAGCTTGGGATCCATTTTGGAGGGTGAACAGGGAGAAGTGTTGAAACTGGAGATGTGACCAACAGTAGCGGAAGATTGGGTCTCACTGAGACTGATTCTTGATCATAACCCTAGGCTTCCAACAACCATTAATTTAATACAAAAACCAGGTCAACCATTTTTTTAATTTTCTTAGAAGTCTAGGGATAATAAATAGCAGGACAGCCGTGAAAAAGACATGGTGGGTTGAGAGCAGATGGCACAAGTTACCCCAATGAACGGTGGTTTCTGTGGACCCCATCTGTCTAAGACACCTTGTGGAGCCGGTGTAAATGGTTTCTCACCGTGATCACAAGGGGTAGATGATGTTCTTCCGAACGAATGGGAAGTAAAGAGCGTTGCATTGCCCATCAATTCGGTTTCTACCGTAATCGAAGAAACCATGAGATGGAACTGATGGAGCGGGTGATATCTTCGTTTCTGCGCATCCAGTACGTGTTTTCACCCGCCCCTCTCCCCTCCAAGATGCGTGAGCGAACAGGAAGTCGCCACCTTGGAGGAAGCCAAGGAGAAAAGAGATCAACAAAAGCCAGAAGAGAAAACAGGTCTTCGTTTATGTCTTCTGAGAAACAGGTGGAGCGGGGGTGCCTATTGATATTTGGGATAACCTAAGGATCAAGAACTGCTTACCAGGAGAATCCAGGTCTAACTTGTTCATAGCCTACTAGCAGTTCACAAGACAAACCAATCATAGGGGGTTGGAGCAGTGTACAATTGCGAGATACACCAATCTCTGGCACTGTAATCTGCTTTCCACTTTACCGGTGGTCTGGCTAGGACACACCCACAAATGCTTGTGGATACCCTGGTTTTGGAATCCTTTAAAACCAGCCTACAGGTCCGAGTACAAAAGCAAGCATGGACCACCTGTGATGTGTAAAAGATTGTAAAAGCGTGGTGAACAACACAATAATGCATGGTATACACTGGGAATATTCCTCCTTTCAACAGTCTGAGGAGACTTTGTACCCATGAAGAAAAGTAATGGTATCAAACGAACTTGCTCGGCTTCATAGCCCTCTGATTCGTCCAACTCCAACGGCTTCAGAGTCAGCCACCAACCCAATCCTTGCATGTGCTTAAGGAACTGGGAATTAGTAGATTCAATCCCTAAACCCCAACAACATGTCCAGTCCAGCGGCTCACTTTAAGGGCTCTACGGCTCTACAGTGTCTGTCCATATAATCCCTACAGATCCACATACCCTCCGAGAATGTCATTGCAAACACTGTTATGTATAGGTTTGAAAGGTCCAAGTACCTTCTGAGAAGGTACTTGGATCCATATAGGGAATATAATAAGGCTTAAAACCGGAAAGCCGTTTCCTTCTCCGCCCGAAACAACCGATCGGATCGCACACCGCTTTCGTTCTCGTTCTCGGTCACCTTCGGCCCAGCGCCGAGGGGCTGAGCACCGCCACGTCGGGGCCGAAGATCTGGTGCATCGTCTGCCGCTGGCGCCGCTGATCGGCGTCGTCCAGGATGTCGTCCTGGTTGAGCGGGGGTGGAGCGAGGGGGGGTGGACGGTGTCCGACCGGCTTGGGAGGATGAAAGCGCGGAAGAATTACAGAGATTTGGAGACAAATAGGCGGCAGGAAAGCTATGTACATATATATCCATTGCACATACTGCAATGAAGATAGACCGCGATAAAGTATGATAAAATCAAACAAGAAACACCTGGTACAGCGGATCTCGAATCTGCATCTTCCAATCCAGCGGGGAAAAACATGCCCTTGCCAGCCGCCCAAACATGCCACCATATGCCCCCCAAAAAACAGAACATATCACTCCATGAAACTCCCAAAATTGCCAAACAACCCCCTCAAACTGAGGGCGGATGATTTGCTCGCGCGACCAACACCGCGTCACTGTCTTCTTCCGTGGTTTTGTGGCGCGTTCCGAAAACAACAACGAAGGCCGAAAAAGCGGCCCCATCTGCACCGCCGCTTGAACGCCGAGTGTCATGCACCAAGGAGGCCGTGTGGATGATCTCGATGGACGTGGCCAACGTGATCACCTGCCGCGGAGAGAGGGAAGCGAGTGACGCGAGCGACGGGCAGGACCCGAACAAAGCGGAGCCTGCGGAGAGGTTTGGGTTGTCTGGGCCGGCAGATGCCGGGTATCCTGGTAACAGGTTGACACGAAGCAAACAAAGGAACCAATAATATGTACAAATCAATAAGTGCTGGGATTCCTTTTGGATGACATACTTGGATTTGTTTGAGGCCACAAAGATTGAACAGTTCCAAAGACTTCCAGAACAAAAGAGGTCACGCAGTCTGCTCGGCTCACTCTCCTGTTGAAGCACGACAAGCTTTCTGCACGAGCGCACCACCCTGTTGAAGGTCTCTGGAGAGGTCCAACGCGTGAGTCGGCCCCACAGATCGAGGCAAAGGAAGGGGGGTCGGCTGTCGAAAGAATGAAAAGACATCACTACTCACCTACTTGGCAACACGGGGAATATGGGTCCGTGAATACCCGAACAGAGGTAATTATTATAGAACTGAATTCAGACACCAAGTAAGGTAGGGGTCATTGGTAGGGCCATTGTTTGCTTTGAGTAGGGTGTTCTCGTCCAGGGCTCAACTCGCACCATCAGCGGTGCGTACATTGGGCCCCAGAACCCTCTTTTGGGTTCGATTTTACCGGCGTCTTTACGCGCGTTGCGGATAGCCATAGTGGTTTGCTGCTTGGTGGTGGGGTTGGCAGCGGCGACTTTGCGCTGAATCGCAACTATACCAAGAGAAAAAAAGCCCCAGCTGGCACCGGCGCCTACGCTCTCGCAGAGCAAAGGCAAGAGGACTAGTTCGGCAGGCCAAGAAGACAACCCACCTGTCTAAGGACCTTCAAGGACGGCTCGTGAGGGCTCGACGCATTTTGCAGGAGCACCACAGTTTCGTTCGACCCATGGGATGGGGAGGTCAATACAAAGGAGCTCAAGGGAAGCCATGGTGGAGCAAATGGCAGCAGCAAGGGCAGCCGAAAGGCCCGAAGCCCAAAAAGGAAGCGAAGACAGACAAGAGTGCAAAGAAGAACGAAAAGGCAGAGGATGCCTTTCCGGCTTACGAGTCTTTGCAGTCATCCTCGTCTTCCTCTGCAGCCAAGGAATCCAAGGAAGTCCAGGAGATCAAAAAGGAAATGCGAGAATTCCTTGCGGCAAAGGACATCCCGGTGGATCCACACATTGTGGAACTACTACACAGCGACTCCAACACCATGGAAGAGATCAAGTCAGAACAGAGGAGCTTGAATCTCAAAAAGAAGATCATTGGGAGGATCGAAAAGTTGAAACAGAAGGTAGCCGAGAAGAAGGAGGCGTGGAGCATTTTTCTGGATGCAATGGAGGCTCATCGAAAGAAGGAGAAGGAGAAGCACGCTTCAGACTTGCTAGCTCTGGAAGACGCTCTCTCAGAAGCCCAGAAAGAGCTCAACAAAGTTGTGATGAAAGAAACAGATGGGGGAGACAACATGGCAGTCGAGGATGCGGAGAAAGAAGCACTGAAGAGGGAGCTCGAGCGTACTCACGCTATCATGAGAAATCTTCAGCAGCGGGTCGACAGCTATGTTGGGGCAATGGAGATGACAAGGCCGGAAGGAATGGCGAACGACCTTTCGCCTCAGCTGACGCGGCCTCCGCAAACAGCGTTGGTGAGAACTCTCCCAGACGAAGTGGCCGCCAGAGCAGCTCGCGCCAAGTTGTTGACGGCAGCCGAGAAAGCGGTGTTGGAACAAACCATTCCTGTTCCTGTTCGCTCAAGGAGCACATCACGGAGTCCCCGAAGAGAGCCCTCCAACTCTTTGGACAGGCTCGACAGGTGAGAAGCCAAGCTTATAAGCCTCCTTCCGAACATAGTGGAGGCGAGAAGTCCGTTGGGTACGGATCCGATCATGGTTTGATGCAATATGAACTTCTCCCTGAGGGTGCGTTCGGCGCCAATTTTCAAGGGGCGACATGCATTCAAGGGCTGAAGGGGAATCGAACCAGCATTCGGAAGGGTACAGAGGTTTGCCAATTGACTGCAACCGACCTTCATGAGCCAGCTTTCGAGTGGAATAGATTTCCGGAGGGCCGGGTGCCTATCGGAATCGAAAATCTGCCTTGGCTAGATGAGTTCAATGGAACAGTTGCGGAGACATCTTTTCGGGATAGTCGATTGCATCTGAACTTTTTTGCAGGGGTAAGTACATTGTTTTTGTGCGCACTCTGCACGGCATTTGGACGAACATGTCCATTGATGCATTCCTTGCTCAGGGGTCGACCTCTTAGGGGTTTTGATCAAAGAAGCAAGCTCATCCAGTGGATCCTTTTGGGGTATGTTCTACTGGTTGCAATTCAAGTGGTGACGTGCCAAATACTAGTCAGTGGCGGTGTGCATATCCAGCCAGACTACCTTTCGGTGATAATCAGGGTCCAAGCAGAGCTAGCCTTTTTGCTTTTGTTCGTGAGACTTGGGCTGAAGTGGAGGTGTGATAGTATAGGTCCTTGCAGAAGTGTCTGCAACTCTCGCAAATGTGCGATTCGACCTAAACCTCAAAGCATTAAACTGAAAGCTATCCTCATGTGCCTCAACATAGCGAGTTCGCATGCCACTCAAGTTTCCCATGCTTGTGAACAGGGTGCTATGTTCGCTGGCAACCGGAGCTCAGTTCATGCAGTCAATGATAGTGACGGACAGTATCATCGTGACAATTCCGTCTTGTGTGATCCTTTGCAGAGCATCCAGCAATATCCTGACAGCTTGAGGGCCTCAGCCTGGAGCCCAATTGAACAGAGAACGGACCTAGGTCAACATAGCATAGATGCACTGACAGGTCACGCGGCAGGAGGAAGTGCCCTACCAGAGGCCACCTTTTGCGAATATGAAACTAGTCCTTTTTCCTGGCCTTGTGAAGGGGACAGTAGAACTATAGTTCCTGACGGAACTGAAGAAGGCCACAGCCATTCGTCCATGAATGGTCCTGATCATGATTCTGACATTGAATCTAGTTACTCGGTGACTCATGGAGACGACAGGCTAACATTTTTGGGCAATTTTGTCATCGATCCTAGGACACAAGAGCCTCTAGGTACCGATGTTGGCCGGGACAGGTCGGTTCGCCGGAAAGAAGCTGAGAACCTTGTCTTCCAAGATCGTCCGTTTCTAGCTAAGACATGGTTTGCACCCCTGAATCGGTGCAACAGTCAGCCGAGGGATTTGGTCGTCTCGGTAGAAGATTTCGGCCGAATTGGAGAGGTGGTTTGCTCAGTTTGGGGGGGATTACTTGACAGCGAGTTCTTGCTCCTTCCGACTTGTCTGGCCGCAGCCAGCTCTATATACGTACCAAGAGTCTTGGCACTTCCTTGTGTTCGATGGGCAGGGCCCACCTGCCTTGCTTGTTCACAACACGTGTGGGAGTGATCAAGGAGAACAAAGTCAATGTCATTCCTTTTGTGCTTGTGCCTTCGACCATAAGCATAGTGTTCGTAGATCTCAAGAGAAGTCTTCTGGCAAGCAATGGAAGCATGGAGACTTGGTTAAGATCGTCACGGAGGGAGCACGAGGAGTGTGTGAAAGTTTCCCATTGCTGTTTCCCGTCAATAGTCGACAACACGCGAAATATGGGGACAACACTGCAACCCCGATTGATGATGGGCAGGATGAGTTGGCTATGATGCAGGCGCAGCAGGCGACCAGAACAGCAGCAGAAAAGGATGCGCCAAGTGTTTGGGGCACGGCTCTGATGCAATGGCTAGAGCAAGCGGAGCTCTTTCACCATCTGAGAGTTATGCAAGGACACTTCGGCGCTAAAAGTGCCAAACCGACAAACCTACTCGTAGCCGGACTCCCTGCCGAAACAACTTCGGCTTTAGAGAAGGTGAGTAGGACATCCAGTTGTCCCAAAACTTCATCGATCGGATTGGAAGACCGCGGCTGGGCTACCAGTTCACTCAAAGAATATCCGAGAGACTTTTGTTGTTTCTTGGCCAAGATGTTCGATCGATGGATGTCAGGTGCAACCCGGAGGTCGGGCCCCCCCACCAGTTGATGTTCACTGGCTTAAGGCTATGCACATCACTGAAGTGGATCAACGCTGTAAAGAAGGGCCCGATTTCAATCCGCTACTAATTAAGAATTCACACCAGCAAGGCGCTGAGTCTTAGGACACCGTGCGCACAAAGAAAGAAAGAAAGAAAGGGTGTTCTCGTCCGATCCTTGCTGATGGGCTCCATGGCCTTATCGTAGGCCGCCTGCGCGCCAGGCCCGATACTCTCGTTCAACATGGAGTGCACCAGCAAACACAAGGCCGGGCGCAAGCGCTTTCCACCACTGCCTCAGATCCGCTTGTTTATTCTTCAGCATCCTATACCTCATAAGAAGATTGCCGAAAGGGGACCTCCAAATGGATGTGCATCCATTGAAATACCCCAGTGACTGGGAAGAGCAAAGAGGGACCAACCTGTACCCCTCCAGACACGTCCTTATATATCTGTCAACCCCACGATAGCGTTTGGCTGCGATGATCGATTTGTCCAGGAGCTACGTTCGTAGCATCCTTGCTACTAGTAGTAATGGCCGCCAACATCCTCCAACCTACTAGTGATGACCTCCAACCTACTACTGATGACCTCCAACCTACTAGTGATGGCCTCCAACCTACTAGCGATGGCCTCCAACCTACTATAGTCATGGCCTCCATCCTAGTAGCATCTTCCCCTAAGGGGCAGGAGGCATGGACCGGTCTAAAGATCGATCGACGGCGTCTGAAACCCACAACACACGCGGACCTCCGTCCGTACCGGACCTCCCAACGATTCAGAACCGCTTCGCCTCAGAAGCCGTTCCGGAACTCCTTAGTAGTTTTTTCTCCTCCCTGTTGTCGGAAAAATGGTTGACAAAAAATTGAGACACCCATTCTCTTGAAGTAAAAAGCACAGCAAATGTCTTCTGGCCAAGAACTTCCACCAAACATATGCGGAACCACGTGATTTACCAGGCCAGTTGAAGATCCTACAGTGCACGTTTGATGTCCATCTTCAATTCATCCCTCCCTTGTTCCCTTGTTCATGGGTCCGAACCCAGATCCTGTGAGGCACGGAGCGAACATCATGAAGAAAGGGATGTGATTTCCTCCACATTTGTAGTGACACCATGTTGTTCTCTCTATATACTTTGGGACTGTTTAGAAGCGTGGACTCGTATACGTGGTGAACAACAAACATCTCTTGTGCCTTTTGGGCACCACCACGCTCGTCTCTATCTCAAGAAGTGGGAATGCCTGCCATCCACATCCACGATAGACCAGACCACTTCTATCGCAGACCTCTATGTGGCTCTCGTCTCTATATGTGGCATTTTCCCAAAACAGTGGAGTTCCTGCCATCCACCGAGCAGACCAAGACCACTGGGGCAAGCAAAGGAGCTAAAGACCTCATTGATGGCCTTCTTCAGCTTCGTGCTCTGCGCTGCCTCCTGTAGACCTGCTGGATGAGATGAACGGCTGAGATGAACCAAGCAGCTGGTCTAGGGCACATGCGGACGTGGCTCAATAAAGAAACAAACCAAACTAGAACCAATGGTCTTTGTGGAAACAAACTATAACCGTAGTATCCGATCATCATCACCTCGTGTTTCTTTGTTTCTTCGTTCGATTTTGTATGTCTTTGTTGGTTCTTCCTTTTACTTCCTTTTGCCAGTGGGTTGGGATGGCCTATCTTTGAGCCATACCGGCGTGAGTAGTTAACTGGATCTGGCTGTGAGACACTCCCACCAAATAGGGTGGGATTCAAACTCGAGGCCACCCGGAGGGTATCAAGGGCTTTTCCCAGCACTGGAATCCATGCAGGGAATCGTATTCTGCAACCGGAAGCAAGCAATGGCCAACTCTAGAGGAACAAGCAGAGCAAGATCCATTTCACAAGTCATGATCTCCCTCGGTCTCTCGCCTAAGAGACGTTCTTGCACTTGGTCTTGACCCTTCGATACCTGGACGGAGATGGTCTTCCCCACGGGCGGTCGGCTGGATTGAGGCGGCTGACCCTTCCTCCCCCCCACCGCCAGAAGTGGCAGGGAAGAACAATTAACATGGGAGCAAGAAACATAGAAACGAAGGCATGCATGCATGATGGGATTTTGCAAGATCAAACCGATCTACTAAACCAAATTGGGGCCAATTCAGAATGGTATTTGGTCTTCAGCCTGGTAGGGGGTCTGCGCCAGTCTGTACTCTCAAAGGTCTTGGTGTTTGATTGAATGTGTTTTGGGGATGTTGGAAGAGGATGTTGCAAGAGCCATAAAGATGGACCAACTTCGTCCACACCTTTCAAAACACATCGCGCTTTACAGCACTGATATCAGCAAAGGAAACAAACCACTTTCTCTACCAGGTAGTCCTCATTGACCTTTCTTGATGTTCACCAACTCCCCAAATCAACCATGCACCCTGCTCAAAATCCACTCTCTTCATCTCTCTCTCTCTCTCTATCTCTCTTTGATCTCGAAATCCACATGTTTAACCAAACATTTGGATTTCCGGATATTTCATGAATTGTCATGACATTTCTCTGCAATCTCTTTGCGCCCAGCCACACAAGAGAGGAGATGCGTGAGATCCAGCTGCTCCGGTAAGGGCGTTCGACGCTCAAGGCCCCGTAGGATCAGCCATTCCACCTGGAGCGTCCCGCTGGTGCAAGACCATATGGAGCGGTCCTGACATGGACCGGACCCCCGGTAAGACATTGTAAGACCGGACCAGCTCAACAAACCACCCGATCTTCCTGAAAAAGTCCATGTTCATTCTGCAGGAAAGTCAATCAAATCGATCTTCCGTCTGAACATTCTGTCCAGCAAACACATTCCTTTTTTGCCAGACCGCCGCGCGCTCCGCGGCGCGGTTAGAGCTGCTCCGATCGTTTGGGGTGTGCAAAGGGTGTCTGCGAGACCGAGGCCGGTCCCCTCCCAAACACGACGAAGTGTGGGACTTGAGGATTTTCCCCAAATCAACCAACCCAATGTATTATCCCTAGGGCTCCAACCATATCCTCAGAAGGTGTTTAGAGCCTCCAAACCCACCCCAACCATCTTCGAAACGGAGGTGGGCCAGGAGCCCAAACGGGTATATGATCAGTATGTCAGTTCCCATGGAGTGTTTGGGCTTGCATTAGGCTTGATCTTTCAAGTGCTTGCCTCGACCGATTCTTTCCCTCCCTCCCTGACGGCAAATGAAAGAAAAACCACCACTACCAACTGCTACAGGCTTGACTACTGGGACAACCCCCATGACTGGGACCCATCTCCATCGCCTCCGGTCGCCTCCGGTCGCCACCGACCCTCGTCCCTCCGCCCTTCTCTTCATCGGACGGTCCATGGTGGTCGGGCCTCTTCAGAGTTGAACTCCAAGCCCAGTCCCTGCGGTGCTCGTGTCTCGTCGTCTGCCAGGGCGACCACCTGAAGGAGTCGAACAAGATGGGATGGCAGTGGGAGGCTGAGAGGAGAAGAAGAGGCAAACTAAGCAAGTCATATTAAGTCGATACTGAATTAATCACTGTGTATAGGATTGTATAGGTGCCAAGTTGATCTAATTGTTCCACGTTTTGGGAAGGTGCATGGAGGATAATTCCGGGGTGCCCCATGAATCCAACTGCCTACCAAAAACCAACGCAACTTGAAACATCGTTTGGTACAAGCTTGATGGATGAACCCGTGCATGTCCGCGCGCGGTCTGTCTGCGCGGTCAACCAGAGCGCATCGTCGTCTCCTCGCGCCAAGCTTTGGATCGCATCCAACCTGTCGAAGGGCTTCCAAAGCGGCGGCTGGGGAACTCAGAACAACAATGATGACATCATTCAGCCACGCAAAAACATCATTCTGAGGATTTGTACTGTTGTTCTTCGTTTCTGATGGTTGCTTCTTCTTCTTCTTCTTGAAGGGTTTCCAAATATGGATGACTCACCTGTCCAAGTATCAGCCTTTCACGGGTCCTTAAGGTTATTTCTATTTGAAGAGTATAGCTGGTGCGCCTCTCTGCTAAATCTCTGGGATCTCTAGTCGCTCCTTGGTCTCGTTGGAGGGGTTTGAGGCCTGCCCAATTCATCACATCTTATGTCTAGGCCAAAGCTGGCGGGTCACCGCGCCCAACACACGTCAACACACGTCAACACACGAACGATGATCCGAAACGAGTAAACCATCGCATGCGACGGACCCGAGATCGACTCGATCGACTCCTCCGGTCCCAAGCATGGAAGGCTTCACTGAACGATTGAACCCATGCTTCCACCTGGTACCTGTGAGCACCATGAGTGGCCGGTCGCCAAGGGGGGCATTGGAGCGGAGAGGCCACCGGATGGGCAGCCCGTGTTGGTTTTAGGCCAAATGGTCGACCGGGGTCTACCCGGTCTCAAGGCCTGCGTTTTCACCCGGTTTGGAAAAAGCATGTCAAAACCCATGTACGAATAGCCGGATGTTTGATCAACCAGGAACTTAGGTCCTGTTAGGTGCTTCGGCGATTTGGTAAAAGTATGCCAAAAACAATCAAAAACCCATGGCCCAAAAAGATCACTTCGGGTAGGTGATCCACATCCCTCGCACTCTTTGGACACGCATGCAGACCTACCGGTGTTTGACACACCCCGCCTGTGCTTGGAACGCTGCTCACTGCCTGCACCGTGAAAAACCGGTGAAACAACGATGGTCACATCCTAAAAGACCGGACTGGTCGATTTCAATTGGGGGGGTGGTTTCTGTTCTCATTTGTGTGGACTGTCTGGGTGCTGGGTCATGACTGTTCAAGGAAACCATCACATACCAATGAGCTGGGTCGGTCACTATGGGGTTGAATCAGCTTGGTCCTGAGTGGTTGTCTTCTCAAATTTGCAACATCGGTTGCCTCTCACAAACACCAAAACTAGGATAGCATATAATTACACTTACACACACCTGAAATGACTCCAGGACCTCCCCTCTGTCGGTACAGTCACCCATGACCAAGAATGCTGTGCCTCACACAAACCCCATATATTGCCTATTGCCTACATTGGGGTGGCTTGAGGTGTCAATGTGGTAAATATGCCATACTGTAACCAGGATTTTGTCCTTGCAATGAAGGTTTCCCAATGGCACACGTGCTTAAATGATGTAGTATGAGTGTCTAGAAGATGGATTGTTCCTTCCTGTTCCTTTGGATCTCTACCCTTCGTCGAGAAGATCCTCTCCGGCACCAGCTGTTAGAGGTCCGTGTGCATCATGATTTGGTACAACGTTCTTGTGTGCCATGACCTATCACTATCTCTCTCTCTCTCTCTGTATATATAAATACACACCTCACAAGGCTAGGTATTTTTTACCCCTCCAGTCACCTCCTCCATGAATCTTCCACGAACACCTAGCCACACCTAGCCATCATGAGGGTTGGTACAACGTTCTGTGCCAAATCACTGAACCGGACGCCGAACCATACCCCAAAATTTCATATCGGTAACTGATCCGGACTTGTTGCCTTTTGAACATAGAGACAACCAACCCCAATGTAGGGGGAACACAATTTGTACCAATTCCCATAGCGGGTCAAGCTGGGCGACTCGCCCAAACTCGTGGCCGGGCCAAGCTGCTATGGATCCGCTGCAACTGCGCCCGCAGCCGCAGATTGGCCACCTGAAGGCAATGGCACGTCAAGGACAGTAGCCTGTTCATCAATGTCAACTCAACGAGTGCAGTGATGATTGAAATTCAACGAGTGCATGTCACTACAATTTATGTATTATGAGTCACAAAGCATCAAAAAGCGTCATGCATAACATCTGCAAACACACACCAACCAAGTAGCAGCTTGTATGCCTTGTTGCTTTCCACACCCACAGGATATGCACAGTGTTTGATGGTTTGCTGTTCGGAAGCAATCTTCAAAGAGCAATATTTTCTGCACAAACTTGCAAACAGTGGTGTGCCCTTGAAGAACCGTGCACGCGGGTCCGCACGCGTACCCGACGCCTTCATGTCGAAAACGCGGCTTTCAGGGTCAGGGTTCACCTGAGCGTTCAGAATATGGGCCCCAAAACCAAGGTTCGGGGGAAGTGGAAGCCTGAGAAGGGGGAAACGAAAGCCAGGAGCCACCAACTGCTAGACCTGTTCGTATCCCATGGCACAACACCCTGCAGTCACCCTGTATACACCAATTCCTCAAAAAAATAGTCAGGTGGGGGCTAGCCACTTGGCTAGGCACTTGGAGTCTCCAGACTACAGTTTATCTGGGACAAAAACGTGTTCATAACATTTCGATAAACTAAAAAGAACCCCCAGAACGAAATTAATCTAGTTTGGATCGTCAATGTCGTGGCGTTTGGGTATCTTTGTTGTACTGTTTTTACGCTCAACAAAGGGACAAAAAGGGCAAGTAAATGGACACTTGGAGTCACTTCGGGTTAGTGGAGAAGCCTTGAAGCGAGGGCCACCCGCAGTCACTGGCATCCGCGGCTGCAAGTGGCTGTGAGTCGCCGGATAGAACATCGCCCACGGATTACATACTCAACGGGCTCTTGAGCACTGGTACGAGCTAGTAGCTGGTGCCAAGTACTCTTAAACCCACCGGAAATCCCCTATACCTAGAAGCACCTCAGCAAGAATTTCTGCCTCAGTCAAATTTGCCTTGGAGGATTCGCGGGTTTAGGGTAAAACCCCGTTAGGTTGGAATTTCAGTGGACAGCAAAGAATTTTTGCGGCAAGAAGAAATCAACCTAAAAGCCACCAGGTTGCCTCTTCCATGATTGCATACCGCGTATCGTTCTGCAAGGACATAGTTTCGCATCTCAAGATCTGACACCCACCCAGCAGGGCACCAGGGTGATTTTGACCCTTTCGATTGATGAAACTTGCAAAAAAGATTGCAACATATGTTCAAGTCCTTCAAAAGCACTGGTTATTGAATTCCCCCTTTTACCAGGAAATTATGTATGTTTTTTTTATGTTTTTTTGTATTGTCCATTGTATTTCCACCTATTTTTGCGTCAGGTATTTTGCTCCGGGTGTGTGTTCATTCCTAACGATAAACCTTCAAAGCCAGATTTGCATGTGGACATGTGAAGGTGGAAGCTTAAGCTGCCATTCTTTATTCTTCTCATTGAGGTGACCGTTCCAGTGAATGTCTCGCTCTTCTGGCAACACCTCCCCTCTTGCCGCCCTCCCCAAGCGCTGACTCTCCGGGTGGTTTCATGCTCCGAAACGTTGATCGTTCAGAACCCACCCAGCGAGGGACCACCATGTCAGCGACCACGCTGTCCTCGTTGGACACCTCGCCATCCTCCATGAGGTGTAAACAGGCCACCTCAGGGCGCCGACCGCGGACCGTGATCCCTTCGTGATGCGATCGACCGGAGCGTTCTCTCCCTCCGTCACCGTGGCAGCAGTGGCCCTCCGGGATGGGTGGGTGTATATAACAACCGAGAGCGCCGGCAGACAGACAGTTTAACGCCACAGATCCGCCAGGTGGCTCACCGCAGGAAAAAGAACACATGTTCAAGAAGGCATTGGCCCCAGAGATTTCACTGATCCATTTTAAAGCGAATCCCCATATATATATATATAGATTTAAGAAGGAGAACTGAAATTAATAGGGCCATTCTCCTCAAGCCATCCGCGATTCGTGGAATCTATGCATCCCACAAGAAGCTAGCAGCTACAGTACTGGACGAATCTCTACTGAACAGCATGTTCCCTGCTGAAAAGTGAGTCTCTTCCAGTCGAGGCCAAGAAGGACTGATAAGAACCTATCGATAGCCGTACTGCTTTGTCTGCACACTTCAAGTACTCCGAGGTGGAGTCAGCTTCTTCCCTCAGCAAAATAGCACGGCCATAGTCTCCACCTCACACCACACACTGCAGAACTTCAACCCACGCACCACCACACATCACACCATGGCGCGCCAAGTAAGCGCACCAAAAAAAAGAACAACACCGGCCCCACGCCGGCTCCAGGCGCACTAAACGAACTCAAAAAAGAACAACAGCGCCGACCGGTCGAGTCGAGTCGCGAAGACACGATAAGACACGAAGACACAAACAAAACACGACGGATCGATCCGGCCAAGAAGCTCCACGGACCAAGGTCAAAAGGGCTTCCTTCTCTTTGCTCTCCTCTAGACATTCCAAGCGCGCCGTCGCACGGGCCTCGGATCGAATTCTGATGAACCGATGAACCTGAAGCCAAGAGGAAGACTTGGCTCAGTAAGCCATCAAGAGTAAGTACATGGAAAGTACATGTTTTATTTGTGTATTTATATATTTATTTATGATTTGTTCTTTGTATTACAGTTGTTCTTTTTGAACAGGGTCATGTCATGTCATGTCACATGTCCCATGTTCTAATTATATACTGTAATTAGGTACTTTAAGAGGGTCCTTGGTGGATATCAAGTTGGAGTGATGCGTCTTACCCAGCAGTCAAGAACCAAGATGAACCAAGACTGATTGCATCAAGGGTAGAGACACGTCCAAAAGTAAGAGGTTCAACGTCACAGCCCGAGTTTGAGGTTGGAGGTTTGTCCAGTATGTGTTGAACAAAGCAGAAAATACACCATCCAAGAGATGTTGAACAGCCTTACTTATAGCCCATCCCATAGTATGTACCACTACGTGGTCCTAGTTCAGGTCTCAAAAAACCTCTCTTGAATGAAAAGACAAACAAAAATCCGACCTGGAGCAATGATTTCACCAGCCTGGTCAGCCTTCCCCAATGGACAACCCCTGAGAAAAGTCAATGATGCAAGGAACAATAAGGGCTGAGACTGGGCTGGAAGCTGGAGGGGTGAACGGGTGAAACACTCCGTCAATGCTGGTGTTTTGGAGGAATCATGGGAACAGGAACAAAGTCCTCAATCCCAAGGAAATGTCATGCCATTTGCAGTACAATGTCTTGTTTGTTGATACTACCCATGAAGAGTCCAATTGCTCCAAGAAATCTTAAAGGTTTTCTACCACGACACCATTTGTCAAACGCACCCCGCTTGGGGACAACTGCATCCCTCGAAGAAAAGCTACAGAATGGTCAATCTGTTTGTTCACAATCATGTCCTGTTCGCTTCTGGCATTGCACAACACTGGTTGTCACCACAAAGGAGAGTAGTCTTCCAAAGGACCATGCCATCCTTCTTCAGAGTGTATAGCAACTAATCTCACAGCAAAACACTCTCAGACCATTTACCCGCCTTCCTTGCCAAGTCGCGCCAAGCTTGTTCACCAGGTGAATCGTTGGCATCATGCCGTGCTCCTTTACCCGCCTCAGGGCCTCTTCGAAGTCCTTCGCGCCAGAACTGGGGGGGGATGGACTTCATGTGAATGGATGTGAATGGATGATTTACTCATCATGGCTGTGGATTTGTGTCAGAAGGGCCCCTGGCCTGAACTGTGGCTGTGATTTCTGGATGGAATGATATCAGGCACAAAGACAAAAGGGCCGATTGAAAATGTTTGAAAGGGTGTCTGGATGTGTTTTTTCACTCTTCCGTCACCTCGTCAGTGACTGGAGTACATCGCAGCATGTGTGCACCGAATTTCGATGGTGATAGGAGTCATAGGGGCACTAAGGGAACCACCTTCTGCATTTTAGGGATCTATTCAAAAGGCTCGTGGTGAAAGAATGCTACTCAGGGCTTCCACGTCATCCAGCAAACCAACGAATCCGCCCCCCAAGCCCTGCCACACCATGTCCTCATCTCGATTGGAAAAGAAACCACGCTTTCCACCACGCCCCGCTGCAATTTGTTTCATCGCTTCACCACACTGCACGCTGACTATGACCGTCTCTCTGCGTCCGCGTCCACTCGCCGGCGGTCCTCGGCGTTCTCCAGGCGCGTGGAGAGCAACTCCTTGAGCCGCTGATCGCGCTGCAGCGCGAAGATGATGGGCGCGGAGATCCTTCCGGGGTCGGTGTAGGGGGAGGGCTGGGGAGGAAAAGGTGCCTGTTAGAAAAGGGTTGGTTGGTTGGAGGTTATAAAAAAGGCAAGACTTTCCAACATGAAAGATGAACAATATATTTATGCAATGGAAACGGGTGTACACGTATCCAACTACATGTGAGGCCAATATTTTGCTCCCAAATGCTATTCACATCGCATCCCATGCCCTGCAGCAGTCACACTTTACAACAGGTTCTGACTGCGACAACACTCAACCAAACCCAGTCACTCAGGAGGAACTGAGCCAGCCGATAAAACAACATGTCTGGCGCTTCAGCCAGCGAGAAGTTTCATTGAACTTAGTACCACAGCCTCAGCAACGCACATTTTCTCGGGTGCCCAGTTGCAAGTTGTTCTATTGATATGTCTTGTCTTTTTTGGTTCGGTTTCTTCTGCAGGAAGAACAAAGAAACAGGTGACACCATAAAGTGGAAACAAGCGGTCCTTGTGCATAATTTGGTCTCTTGGTCTTTGGGGTTTGTGGCTTTGGCTCACGGCCACTTCAACAAGAGTCCACAGGTACCTTAACTATTAGCGACACTTGGTGCCTTAAAAATAATAAAACAACTCCACCGGGGCACTCCCACTCCAGCCTCGCACCGATGTTTTAATCCCCCCGGAAGTCGTTGCGAAGAACATGCCTCCCTCCGGCCACAAACCGCTTCGAACTCGGTTTCAACCAACTCGACGTCGATCGGCGAAGCCGCGCTCCTCCCAAGCTTCAGCGCGGTGGTCATGCCTACTGTGCCTTGGATCTTCGCGTGAGAGGGTGGGAAACCCATGGGGTGCCCGGCTGGAAGGAGGCCTGTTTCTATACCTGGACCATCTCATGGGTCACCAGGCTGGACAACCCCTTACTCCCAAACAGGAGACCCAATCCATGGTAGAAAGTGCTTTCAAGAGTCACCGGATACACTGGCTAGAGGTCCCCCCCCTCAGCATGGGACAGCTGGATGTAAGGAAATGATCTGGAGGTCTTGTCAAATGCTTCATATGATTGGACATTGTAAGTCTATCTTTGGCTGCTTGGGCAAAGAAAAAACGCGGAGGGATTAAGCCCCACGACATCATATTAATAGTTCAAATTAAAATTATCACAGACGCCTCTTCCCAATAAGATCCAATAAGCAACATGCATAGCAGTTTGATACTCAGATCGAACCACCCATTTGCCCCTTTTTTCTGTGCAGTTTTTGGGCGCCTTCCCTTGAACCTGGTTGGACTCGTTGGGCCAGCCATCCCGTGTCAGAACTCAGAGATAGCAGGATCATCCTGTCTGGGTGTCCAATAGACTACCCTACTAGCCTACCCTACTTATGTCTCCAAACAGGGCACCCAGACAGGAAGTGCTAGCTAGTCTTCTAGATCTTCCAAGTGTGCAAAATTGCAGCCTTTCCATCGTAGGGTCAAGCAGCCTTTTGGGGGTCACCAAACTATGTGATGTTTGATCGAAATCTGGCAGGGTCCCATGAGGGGTTCTCCAGGTGGGTTGAATATTCCAACTGTTCGGCAAACCTCAGGAGTCTATAGGGCTTGATCCAACCAAGAGATGAACTCCAGCCCAGCGTCGAACGTCCTTGAGCAACGACACCTTTGCGCTGGAAGCTGCTGGAAGGCGAGCACAAAGAAGAGAAGAAGTCAGCGAGTCCACACCATACCAGGACAAACCATGGTGGGTGGTCGAACCCAACCTGAACAGAATATGTCATTTGTGAGTGGGATCAATATGATTTCCTGAAAGGGTTTTACGTGTTTAGACATTTCTTTGGGGGAGGATATGCTGTAATCATCCATGGTACGGGAAACCAACAATTTGGACGACTAACCAGAAACAAAAACATGTCCAATCTCATTACATATATATATATAAATATATCAGATCACAACACCCGCTCATCACCGCCCGTGGGGAGGCCCTTCTCTGATGTAAAAGGATCGAAATCCCAAGTCTGGGACCTCTTGAAAGTCAGAAGCACGAGATCTTGTGCAACTGGCACGAGCTGTGTTTGTGATTCGTCGAGGAAAACCACACCTTAACAACTATGGCCGGAGTCACACCTATGTTCCAAAGGGTTTCAGAAGTAGGTGTCTTCTTATTCTTAACCCCCAGAGTGCAGGTCGGGCTGTTCTTTCGGGCTGTTCGTCCTGCCCAGTCTCCAGTCTCCCTCGCTGGGCTCGCCCAAGGCACCACGAGGCCCAAGTCGGAGCCAAACTCCGCCAGTTGCGTCGCGATGTCGTCGCTCACCTGGCGCAGATGGTCGGTCAATCCGACGTCCAGCTCGACGAAGGGCGAGGAGATCCCGAAGGACATGCTGTGGGAAGTTGTATGAATTTGTGAGTATACTGGACTAGATAGATATCTAGATTCTAGATCTCTATATATATATATAGATAGACCATAGATGGACCTTCCACGAGATGAGAGGTGATCAATCAATATTGCTGGATACTTCTTTCTTTTGCGGCATCTCCTGCAAGAAATAACACATTCACTTGGACATGACCAAATTCTTGATCCTGAAAGCTTCTCAGAAGGTAAGAGGACACTTTCCATGTTGACCACTCTCTTGACATGCCCATCCCAAAACCAAGTGTTCACCCTAAAGGGTGGGCATGCGATCCCTCTATGCTGGAAAGGCGTTACGGTTACCTTGCTTTTAATCGTAAGTATTATGAGATCCATTGAGGAAACACATTGGTATGTTTCATGCGATGGTTTTTGTAACTATAAAAGTATATACACTCTATACCGGGTCAACACTAACACCAAACAGCCCTCTTTTGATCATTCAACATGCATTCCATGTATCAGCAAGTAAAACAACGCTCATTGGCTGGGTAAACCGGCCCACCATGCATCAAGAAAACCCATCAGCAACATATGAACCTGCTCCTCAGTTTGGTCTCTCTCATGACACCCAACTTTTGGTCTTGTGGCCAAGAAATTCAAGCTGAAGCCTCACCCAACTTAGCCAACATGGAATACTGAGGACTCTTCATGATATATCCTGGCACTTGACACGTTTACAAATGATTGATTCGATTCTCACGTCCCAACGTGTTTTCGGATCCCCTCACCCGACTGAAACAACTTCAAACCACACCTCTCCACCCGTCACGTGCCCCACCGACCGACCGGTGACGGACCGATAGACGCACCTTGTTGACGAAGGCCGCACACGCAGTACTTGCCCCAAAGAAGGCCGCCACCCCGGCCACCTGGGTGGACTCACCCCAAAACGGTGGGACTGAGATAGTAGGGATATACAAGTACCAGGAGTCACAAAGGGTTAGTGTTTGGTCCCTAAGTGAGTGGATGTTCTGGGCACCCCTGTTCTCCAATAACCCCTTTGTGACTCCTGGTAGGCATATAGAAAATAACGTCCAGCACCGCAAGTGTCTACCACGCTATGTTTATTGCTACTCTTGGTGCTCGGCATTTGACTCAAACCCACTTCTCCTCTGTTGTGGCTGCTATGTCTGCGTTTGGGTGTGCAAACAAGTTTATGTATCCCCTCATCAGGAAAAGATCCTGAAGACCTGAAGCCTTTGTTCATCGGAAAGTTTTGACACCTACGCTGCGTAAACACAAATTCTTTTGGCGCCTGAAGACTAGCGGCTAGGGGTTGTGACATGTTGTGACATCAATGCCCAAGATACGTGTAAAGACTACTTATTCAGGCAAATAATTACAACAGGGAATGGACAGCTGATCACTTACTCCCCAAAAAGGCAGCAAACGTTTTTATCCGTCCGTTGAAAGTACACAAACTATCCGGTCAACTCTGTTGAGGGAATCTTCACCCCCCTTTGATGAGCAAGACTGCAGTCATTGAATTAAAGTATGATATAGGGAGGCTGCAAAACGGTACAATGATGCCTCTTAACAGGACACCACGAAAGGAAGCTGTACTCTCATCAACGGCCCGGCCTTCTCAATCTCCAAGTACTGCTTCACGGTCAGGTCCAGGTTCCAAATCCTCAAGAGGATCGTTGAGATCCAAATCGTTCCCATCACTCATGGCTGGCAAAACATCTCTTGGCCCTTGAAGAGTAAGGAGCATGGAGAGGGGTGGGTGGAACTTGGGCCCTCACTAGCTGGCCCTTGGGATAAGCAGAAGAGATGGACTGGTGGACAGACATGATCCTCATCCACTGGAGTGGCTTCGTGCAGGTCACCATGTTCCCTATAGATCCTTTGCTTGCAACTTCTAAAATTTGGCCACAATTGCTTAATTAATGAAGGGCGGAGTCGAAGGTATTTTGCACAACAGCTCGGTTCGGTTTTTGAGAATGTTCCCGTTTCTTTCAACTTTCACCTAGCCATGCAACCGCCAACCACACACTGAAACTGCCACGTGTCAGCTCACGCTTCCGCAGCTGGCCATCACTGTAGGCAGCAATGGTGTTGGCGATGAGCTTTCGACAGGCGCGGCTATCCAACTTGGCCTTTTCGGGCGGCAAGGTGGTGCGAGGTTGGGCCGGTGGTGTTGCGGCAAATGGTCCGGGGAGAAGATAGGGATCATACAACAAGGGGCTAGGTATCCTGATGTCAGGAGAATTTGTTTCTTGGCTCCACCCAAGACCCAGTTATTCTCGGTGTTCTTGGCCTTTCTATGGCCAAAAGAGTATACTTTCTGGCTTTCTCTCCAAAAAATCCGACACACCAAAAAGGGTGAATACAGGAGGAAATTCTGCATATTCAAAGGCATAGGAATTGAATTCGGAAAGTCGCACAGTTGTCACTGCCACAATGTCTTGGTGGCTCTGGTGGAGGACTTCTGCGTTCAGCAGTAAAAATCAATATGTGTGTGTGTCATCCTAGTTCTCAAACTAAATATTTACTTGAATACATGATACATGCTTTGTTTGCAAAGGGACTCCCTGCAAATACCACATGTTCACGTGCATCATCGGCCACCAAACGACCCCCAGCTCTTGAGTGTTCTTCCAAACCATGGGTTACCCATAGCCAGTGAACACAAACCACCACGCTCTCTTCACATAAGAAGCTGATGGATGACACCCTCTCTTCTACATGGTTGGGCGCCCCAGTTCGAAGACAGCTTCATAAACCCAGGGCCGAATCAAGTCATTGATCCTGGATTTATGGCGCATGGCTGTATGCCTCTAGGTCCACTCGATTTCTAGACCTCCTGGATTGAATTGGAGAGATCTGTCCATCCTCGACTCCTCGACGCCTGAGTTGCCATAGCTGTCAACCAAGTTGCCATAGCCCACTGAGCTGTCGCATACAAGGAATCGCCGCCTCCGGTGCGCCGCAATCGCCGCTGGGTGATCCACGTCATTTGGAGGTTGCATGATCCAACAGAGGCTGAAGGACCCGAACTAGCCTATCCCAGTTCGGTACCCCAGTAAGGTCCTAGTTCAGGTCACTTGACCTCTCTTGGATTGTTTGTAGCTGAATGGCGAATCTTCCTGGACTCTAGAGGGCAACTCGGCTGGTCATGTGGAAAAGCTTCACACCTGAATCTTGACAGTCTGGGCGGTTTCGCGGCTGCAGCCCATCAGGCTCACATACAGGGCGGATGCTGCAAGAGAAAAACGGCAAATTATAGTCCCTCAAAAGTTTTGACTCTATTGCCACGTGACGCCTTCCAGTTCCAAAACTAACAATTTATATATTTGATGTCAATGATATTGTGATAAACATGCGCTCAGTCATTTCAAACCATCAAAAACCATCCAGGGTTCAAATCCATCCATCTCTCTCCAGCTTCTGATCTTCTGCGAAAAGCCTCAACACCGGACGCCTTCCGCATCATGCGCTCCTTCCACACCGCGCCTAGGAGCGAGACCTTTCGTCGATCCTTGGGCTCGGTGCTCGTGGGTGTGGAGCCTCCTGCGTCGAAGGCGGGGCTGGGCAGCACTGGGGGGTGTGGGGTGTGGGTGGGTTTAGTTTTGGGGGGGTTGTGCTCCCTGAAATCATCATGGAAGTGGAAAACCACCACCTGTTTGGTATTCGGAGAACGGTCATCGTTGCGGGTCATGCCATCCACGTAATCTTCACTATTTCAGGGAGTTTGCCATTATACTCAGATCCTTCAAAAGTCCGAATTCACACACTCAAAACGCTCCAATTTACAGCTCTCCGGTTCCATGGTTTGAGAATGCAACTCCTTCTTGCCCATAGCCATCCATCGCCTGTGCATGGCATTTATTAATCTTTGTATTAATAGAAACAACTCTTGATCAATCTAAATAATCTAAATTATATATATACAATTATATTCGATCACGCGCACTCTCGAGTCCAGTGAGACGTGGACTGAGTGGATTACCCAACCACAGATTGAGCAATCCAAAGTAGACCCCAAAGAAGTTAAAAGTCACCAATGCAAAGTCGCCACGACTCAATCTGCCTTCCAGCGCCTTTGGCGAAGGCAGAGGCAATCATCACACGGACTTCGTCAGAGTGAAAGGGGATTGCCCCATCTATACAGCCCTGCGGTAGCACTCGACCGCACGAGCGCGGCTTTGTAGAACTGAACAGGCCAGGAAAGGCGTCAACATTCGGCATCTTGGAGAGCTGCAAGATGCACTCTCGCATCAACTTGTAGATATCATACAGCGTGCAGACCTCCAAGTCTCCAGACAGGCAAAAGCCTGCCTGATGGTAGAAGACAGCCAACTCACAGAAGGAGAAACTTTGCGAACAGTCAACTTGCCAGTATAAACCTGAAAGGAATGCACACAACGTGTCCCAATCTTCCTTTGGAGCTTTCCATGTAGGTGGAGGAGGCAATCTCTTCGGAATTTTGGGCCGCCAAGGAAGGTCGGGAGCAGCATCATCATTCTCATCATTTCCATGAATGAGACCAGCACCAGGATCACCAGTAGGCATCATGGCGTGAAGGTTAATGAGCCATCGCTGATGGGTTTCAACAGCTTTCTTCATTTCAGAGAACATCTCGAGATTGATGGGGCACAAGCCTTGCGCAAACTCCTTGGCTGCGATATCACACCGTCGATTGCGAGTAATGTGTTCGACAGTGGTATTGTGTAGAGCAGCCAGATCGTCGGAAAGAAGATAGTCTGGGATGTGTTCAAGCTTGTGTGCCGGGATCCATTCGATCCAAAAAGGCCGAGCGACATCTCTCGACCGAAGGTGGACAATCTTCTCCAAGGCTTGCCACCACTCCAGGCAACTCCATGATGGATCGACGGAGCCGCCTTGAAACAAATGCTGAGCATGGTTGACCACATTCAAACAGTCAGAGAAAATGATGACCTTAGTGGATGCTGTAACACAAGCTGACACAACTGGCCATAGCTCGGCTGCATACGCAGAGAGAGCCCAATGACTGATGAGCCCTTTCTTGACAATGTTGATCTGCTCATCAACAATTGCATATGTTGCTGTGGCCAGCCAAAATGATTCACCCAACACAAGTGAGCCGTCTGTCCAAAGGCGTACCAGACAAGAGGGATCAAACGTTTCCGACACTTCAAGGTCGGCCGCCAAAGTGAACTGAAGACGACGACGAGCGATGAACTGTGGGTGGGCAATGTGGCCCAACAGCGAAAAGTTCTCTCCCAATTCATGATGTATTGGAACACCAGTAAGGGCGTGAAGTGGCTCACAATCATAAATCAAATGGTGCATGTCCTCTTTCTCCTTACCACAAAAACGACAAAGAGGCGAATCGATCCACCCAGACCCAGCAAGTCTATCATTTGTAAGGGTGCACCCAACCAAAAGGGATTCGAGTCGAGACCGAAGCAAGACTCCATCCGTCTCGGCGTGCGGAGGCAACCTCTTGAGAAGAGAGGTAGTTTGCTGAAAGTCAAAAATCTTGGTGGAGGGGACCAAGTCCTTGCGTTTTCGTCCAAAAGCTTGCTGATAACAGGCCTGTCTGGCAATGTTTTGAAGAACTTCCTGGAACCCCAAACAACCAGAAACAAATGGTTGTTCCAAAATGGCAATTGACATCCTTTACATGGGAAATGGTTGTTTGGGGAAACATCCATTTCTTTCTGGTTGTTTGGGGTTCCAGGTTTACTAGCATCCTTAGTCGACAAGGCTCGCAGAGGGACAAGTGCCCACAGTAAGAAATATTGAGGTCCTGGTCAATTTGAATACCCAAAACTTCAGCAGCACCTCGGAGTTTGGTGGCAAGTGAATGTGCCCCAGTGTCTTTCTGCCAGGTGCGCATGAGCATGGGAAATGTATATGGCAGGGTATGGCACATGCGAATGCATTCTAAAACGGTGTTAAACGCACATGCAATCCGAGGATCAGTACGATGGGGCTGAGACAGGACAGCCTGGAGGAGTTGACGTGATCTCCATTTGGGCCTGCCGACCCACAGCGCACGAGCAATTGCATTTTGAATGGAATTAAGAGCTTGTTGCGGAATCTTAGAGATATGAGCGCCAAATGAAATCTGTGGCAAGATCTTGGAGCCAATCAGAAAGACTCGAATTTTGTGAGGAACCGGAAGAGCAGCAATGTTTTCCGAGTCATTCAAAACTTTTCTTAATTTCTTATCATCAAAATGAAAAGCATCTCTCTCAGAGGTGTACATCATGGTGCCTAAGACTTCAACTTCCAACCGGAGTGGGAGCTGCGGGAAGAACTGTTTGGCAGTCTTACGGCCCTTAGAGGTGGTGGCCCACATTGAGGACTTAGCTTCATTTAGCTGCTGGCCTACCCGCTTGTCCCACACTTTGGTCACTTCGAGAGCCTTGTGAAGGTATTCGCAATGCTCGAGTTTGGACCATAAGTATGCATCATCGATGAAAGCTCGCGCAAAGACCTCAGGCAAATGGTCCAAAAGGTGACACCAAACCTTGTTGTAGGCATTCATTGCCAAGAGCGAGAGTGAACATCCTTGTGCCACGCCGTTGGCTCCATGAGTGGACTGAGGGCAAATCCACCTTCTATAGGACAAGTGTTTATGAAGCCCTTGATATTGCTTAAGAAAGGCATTGACAAGTCCTTGTGGGAGCCCAAAGGCTAAAAAACAAGGCGGCTGCAAAAGATGGAACAATACGATCAAAAGCTTTTGCCTTGTCAAGCTTAATGCCAACCAAAGTCACTTGGTCAAGCTTCGCACAATCAATGTGTAAGCGAAGATCATTGTACAAGGAAGCCATATGGCGACCCTTGATCCCTCCCAGCACCGAAGAGGGCATCACTTGCATCTGCCATGCATGGAGTTGCGCGAAGCGGCTACCCGTGTAGGCTAAGAGCAATGCAGGCAAGATTGTTATAAGCCTCTTATTCATTGGGGTAGCAGGGCCAGGCTTGTTCAAAATGACCTGCTTAGCACACACGAGTGCTCGGGGGAGAGGTAACTCAGTTTGTTCAACAAGTTGAAAGAAGGAGGCCACAGGTTCCAGCTCAGAAATGCTGAAAGTTTTGAGCTCACTAGTTCGCCAACCATCTAAACCCGGAGCCGCGTGGGTCTTTCGATGTTGGAGGACATGGTGCAAATCACGAGCATTGACAGGTGGAAGCTCAATCTTCAAGTGCTGATCTTTAATGTAGGGCCACACAACTTCTAACATCTTCAAAGGGTGTTCACATAAGGTGTTAACACCAAACACCGAGTCCCATGAAGAGTTGAGGTGAGCAAGGGCGGCTTCAGGTTGGAAAATAACGTTGTTGTCAGCATCAACAACTAAATTGGGCGGTTCATCTTGCTGCTTATTTCGAAGGTGGCTGAAAATGTACGAACAGTTGGAGTTTGCCGACTCACGGATGCGCTTCTTCCAACTCTGAATTTGCTGGAGCCGAATTGAGGCATCACAAGTCAACAACAGTTGCTCGGCCCACCTCTTGGCAAAGTGGACTTCAACCAACTTAGGGAAGGCAGGATTGGACCAACCAACTGGTGCATTGAGGTCGCGAAGGGTCCAAAAGGCCTTAATGGCTGTGCGTCGAGTGATGGTTTGATCATCAACAGTACCTTCCCACCTGGAAAGCCTCGTGAAGAGCTCTTGGAGACGACCAACCAGTTTGGCGAGGCGCATGCTCTTGGCAGTGGCCGCGCATCTCGTCAACAACTGTTTGGGGGCAATTGTTTTGTAGGAGAAGATTGGAGTTGCAGCACGCTGTTTCGGACCATCCCCCCCAAGTGGCCCCTTTAGCAAGAATGGTCGATTGAAGAAAGTCATTTACAATACCCCACTTGGCATCAGCGGTAGTGGCACTAGTGAACTTAGCTTCAAAATCACGTTTCCATTCTGGAGGTTCACGACCAATGGTGTTTTCAGAATGCATGCCGGAAAGATCAAAGGCAGCCGATTTGTAATGAACAAAACCTCTTTGATCCAACGAGGGCCACTCGAAAACAAGTTGAATGGGTCGATGCTGGCGCCCAAAATGTTCAAGGACATTGGCACTATGCAAGGCTGCAAAAGCGGTGTCGTTCACGAGCACGGCATCGATCGACGTGCAACTATCCCCGGGTCCAGAGAAGAGTCCATCGTTGGAAAAGGTCAGGGGACGACAAACTTCACCAAGTTCATCAACGTTAGCGACAGGGTCATGCCATGATTGGAAATTGATGGCATTAGAGATGACAGGGTACGACAGTGGAGGAGCTTGCAGGTCTCCCGCGATGACAACCGGAATTTGGCCAAACTGTGCAACGAAAGTAAGAATGTCATCAAACAAAGAATTGTTCCACTCATGAACTTTAGTATCTTGTGAAGCACCTGTTTGTGCATACACCGAAATGATCAGGGCTTGGCGATGTGGTGTAACTTAGCACCAAGCCACGGCAACCCTTCTAGTCTTGAACAATTTCGAAAAGAGACCAGTTTGGTCCTGCTTAGCACAACAGGGTTGAATCACAGAATCCGGTGCAGCAACGAGCGTGCCCCCACAAGGTGTTTGGGAGGACTTACCCTTATGCCAACAAAAGGGAAGGAGTTCACCGAGACAAGGAGTCCAACCTTTGGTCTGAAAATTCTTTGTTGCGGATCTGGCATTGTTCTTGCCAACGCGGGTTTCTTGCAAACAAACAACATCGGCATCCCACGTTTTCCACAGGGGATTTGTGGCAATAGAGCCAATGTTAGCAGAAACAAGACTCATTCGATTATTCATGTCAGGGCCCTCCCCAGGAAAACCAAGAGAGGCATCAAAGGCAAGGAGAAAAACAAGCCAAAATGGCCACTCCCCTAGCACCTTGCAAAAGCAGCTCACACTTTTTCTGGCGACAAAAAGTTCACGCTGGGAGGACCAGCATGATGGTGACTTCTGAACTATAGCTAATTGAGGGTGCAAGCCATCCCAACACCGAAGATGATGCTCGAAACAACGGAGGAGCAAAGACAAAGAAATCCACAACGAATCATGCGGCATCAGGCTCACAGGAGGGCACCAAAAATCCATTAACGGCCGAACTTGGGAGCGGACACATGTCGTTCCAGGCAAGAACCAAGTCCAGGCTGAACCCCAAAAGCATTCAACGAGAAGGAATGCGCAGAACCGGAGAAGCTCGGCAGACAGCACCCAAGAAGACACAGGACAACGGAAAACGAAGAGCCAAAGCACAAAGAGAACCCACACGAACCGAATCAAGGGCAGTTGGAGGCTGATGCCTGCCTCATTCTGTCACGACGATTTAAGCAGCTTTGACGGGGGAGTTTCCCCGGTGGGCTCACGTGGGCGCTGCACAGCGTGTGCGAGCAGCTGGCGAAGGGAGTCCTGAATATCCCCAAACCGTGTATCGCCTTTTGCCTCAAAACTTTGTTGCTTGGCTTAAAGCTTTTCAAAGCGTTGCTCAAGACGATCGATGCGTTGGTCATCAGACTTGGTAGATGGCGGCGACGAAGCAGCCAAAGTCCAAGTGGCTGGTGCTTGCGGCTTGGGTTTCTGCTTCCCTTTCTGAGTGCCTTTGCCAGCTCTCGGAGGATGTGGGTTTGCAACTTCTTGGACAAGAATTTCCGAAATCTCCGCATTGATTTGAACGGAGAATGAGCTCTGGGATGGCTTCGAATCGGTCGTAACGACCCAGACATGCACCCCCCCTACACGAAAAGTGCGAAGGGGAATGACGGCAAGTTTGAGAGCTTGCAGAGTCGAAGACACCACATGTTCTGCCGCAGTGGCGGCAGGCCACCCAGCCAACTCAATGGTGTGACGAGGCACGACGTGGATGTTGTCCTTAGTGAGCCGCGAGTCTGCCGAAAGCAAATGGCTCCGAGCTGCAGATATGTGGACAATCCAGATGCGTGGGGCCAAACCCCTCTTGGTCATCACGACCCCAGCGAATCCTTGAACCCCTTTGACAGCAATCTTCATGTTCTGGTGTTCCGAAATGGATGGAAGCCAAAAGCGAGGCAACACAGTGGTGTCGGAACTACCTTTGCCCTTTTCCAGGAAGTCACGTGTGAGTAATGACCCCCTCCCACTTGCCTCGAGAATCTTGGAGCGCTGAGCAAATGGAATCTTTGCAATCATCTGAAGCATTTGGTCTGGCTGATTTCCCCCGGGATAACGAATCTGGCGGAAGCCGTACAAAACAGCCTGTTCGCCTGTCGGCTCATCAACTTCAGCAAGCATAGCTTTGAAGGCACTCACAGGATTGTCCCTGATTCTCTCGAAATCTTGCCGAGACACTAACCTGCAATCAATCTCGAGCACCAATTCACAAATTGCTGGTGTGGTGAGCTTCACGACTGGCTCAGGCAATTGGAATGTGATTTTGCCTTTGATGACAATCATGTGAATGAGCCTCTTGTACGAAAGATTCGCGAGCGGATCGTTGAGAGCAATCTCGAAAGGTCCTTCAAGACGATCAGCTACATGCTTCAGGTGACTGTTCTCACCAGCTAGAATAGCGACATGGTCACCTTGCACTGGACTCTTGAGCACCTCGGCAATGTTGCTTTTGGTTGTCAAAACAGCTCCGCCCCTGGTGGCAGTGAGCTGCAGACGGTGAGTTTGCAGCAGTGGTTTCTTGTCAGCGCCAATGAAGGGCGAGGGAGTTCGAAGCTGGAGATCTTCCCATTTGGATTGCTGTGGCTTGGCAGCCTTGGCCTTCCACGGGTCCCATGAAGTCCATGGATCATTGGCATCCTTGCTTGGCCCTTTGGGAGCTGTCGAGCTCTGGGAACCTTTGGGACGCTTGTTGTGGTCCTCAGGCATGGGCTCATCACCGTCATGCATCCCTGCAGCAACATAGCGATTTGGAAAGCGATTCTCAAGAACCCTGATGAGGAACCAATTGCGAGTGGCATTTGCAAAGGAGCGCAAGGCATCCGAGGCCTGTGTTTGTTCCCACAACTGGGCAGCTTCATCTTGGATGACTGCAGCTGCAAAGTCTGAGTTGGATTCAGAGCAATTTGGTCAGCTTCCAGACGGCGAAAAAGCTGTCGAAGCAAATGATAGCCACACATGTGTGTTGGAGCAACCTGATCGAGGAAGGTGAACTGTAGTGTCGATCTGTCAACCTCTGTGATGTGCACCAAATGATCGAAAAGGGGCCGCAAGAGCTCCCTCATGTCAACTGGGACTGTGGCTCCAAAATTTGCTCCAGCAGTCGAGAAATAGGCTTCAACTGCAATCCAGTGATTGTTGACAACGATGTGCCAGATAACATGGCCGAAGGCTGCATACTCGGGGACAAGGTCGTTCAAGAAAGCCAAATTGCCAGTTTGTGTATTCCAAACAGCTGGGGCGCAGAAAAGCGTATTTGTACTCAAAGCCCTGGGGCCCTCCAATGTATAATCCATCTCATCGGTGGCAAGCCAGCCTCGGAACTGCTGGAAGTGTGCAAGGCGCTGTTGGATCCTCTGCTCACGTGTAAGAGTCGGCTCTGTAGCAACTTGGACAGTCCTCACAACCGGTGGCGGCGGATGTTCAACGTGGAGAGCAACTTGAGTATGCGGTCGTCCTTGCACATGACTGTGGGCCAGAATCAAAACGAAGTTCTTTCTGAGCCTAAAGGCCAGTTCACCAACACCACGATCAATGGATTCTTCTTGCCAATCCTCACGGGAACTGCGCAGAACATCATCCACAAGGTCAGAGACATTTGGTGGCAGTGGTAGTTGATCCGTGAGGTCCGCAATCGTCTGATGATGGCCGCCCCAAGAATACCACCGCATCATGAGATGCCATCCGCAAAGGTGTGGACGATAATACTCTGGCAACATGTGAATCTGAATACGATGCGGTGCAATGTCCAGAAATCTTGCAAGAATCATCGTGAGGCGGTCCCGAAAATCCGCATGGATTTGGATGAAGGTGATAGAAGTTTGGTCACCTCTCTTCGTGATCTCAACAGCCCCCCAGTGGGACCTGACCAAGATTGGTAGGACCGTGGTCGAATTGTTGTAGAAATTGGGCTCCCCGTGTCCAGCTTCATCGAAATCTTGCTTGGTAATGTCCCAAAGGACGGGTGGAGAGAACTTCATGTCTGAACCAGACCACATAAGGGACTGAGTGTAGTAAAACATTTCATCCGAAGCCATCCACCCGTGGGTGTTGACCATGAACTCCATCCGTGCATCAAAGGTGGAGCCTGCATCCAGCGAGGGAGAAGGTCCAATTATATACATAATCAAATCAATTGAATTCAATTGATCTTATCAGAATCTCCCTCGGGGATCTTCCCATGGTTCCCCGAAAGGAAGCCCTGCCACAGTGTCCCAGGTCAAATTCGCTGAGCCGTTCGTCGCTTCCCGTCGCTTCTCCTATCGAGATGCTGTTCAGGGAGATGCCCAGCAAGTCCAGCCCATAGCGAGTCCTGACACATCCGTGGATCCGAAGAAGCGCAACCCGTCCAATGAGTGTCGAGAGTTGGATGAAATCCATTGTAGGGGGTGTATAAGTCTTCACTATATGATTGGCATCACCTGACAAGTCAGGAGTTACAAACATGTGCGCTTCTTAATCCCAGGGGCCCCTCACATCCTTCCACCATATGTCGAAACAATGTCCAACAAAAAGGGAAGCAACGAGACATCGTCCTTGTGTTCCAGAAGAAATTCAGACTTCCAAACCTTCAGATGCAACTACCAAAGGGCAGGAGAACGAGCAAAAACTGGATTCTGCTCCAACCGACTCGCTGACTCGCCCAGGCGCCAAATGAGAGGATTCGCATCCAGGCCCAAGAGCGCTGCCTGGAGGTTCCGTGACCAGAGGAGGTTCCAGTCCCAAAAAGCCCGGCACGCTGGGTGCGGGAAGCCATGAAGTCCGTAAGCTCGTGCCAGCCAACATCTGCAGGTGTCGTACTTGGCATTTCTTGATGTTCTGGGAAGAATGGAAAAGAAGTATACAGTAGTTACTAGTCTAATAGGCACTATACAGAAGTGGTCTACCTTTCAGAACAGTCTGACAAACATCTGGGGTTGGTTCCAACATGTTCCAACTGGCAGACCTAACTACCGGGGG